TTATTTGAAGTAAATTTCAGTTAGAAGATTTCTACTAAAACAATTAGATTATTCGTTCTCGATCAATCTAGGAGGTGAAAGTTGATTCGGCCCCTTCGGCCTCATCAACTATCACCTCATAGAAATCTTGAGCTCATAATCTAATTGTTAAAAAGGAGGCACCCTGCTGTGTTCAGTCTACTGGAAATCTGCGAGTCGTATTGGTCTCTCTTCGTTTCCCATTTAATTAATATAGTCCGTGGAGTCGTACGTCACAGATCTAGATGAGGTCAAAATGCGGCAAGAACGAAAAAGTGGCACACTGGCGGATAGGCCGGTGTGTCACTAGTGTTCTTGCCATATTTTGACGTCTTCTGTGATCTCTTACTGAAGAGACCCACGGCAACATGGAATGTCTCTGTTTTATATATTTAAAAAAAACAAAACCAATTGTTAATGACGTCATTTATGCGTCTGTCCTGCAGTAGATCATAACTAAAGATCAATCAAACTGCGAGAATTATTCGACATATTGTATAATTAACAATTATTCCTCGAGCGCGCGTTGGATATGAGATGGTACATAGGCAAAGAGGCGCGCAGCGCGAAGTTGGTTGTAACCATCTCATATCCACTCTATAGCCAGTTGGTCAATGCTAAAATTGCCGATAACTCAGACGTGACCTGACGTCTTTCATCGCATTACTGTGAATATTTGTTTTTATTTATTTATTTTATTTTATTTTGATTTACCACACAAACAAAAGTGGAATTACAGTACAGTAATTACACCTGCTTTCAGTGTTACGTGCATATCAATTATCTCTCGTCATGCCATCTTTCGACATGCTATGTAACCTGGTCAAAATGTAAGCACAAGTGGCTTCTTTACGGTCGACCTCGACTTTTAGTCATGAAAGATGGATTTATTTGACATCAAACTAAGGCTAGGAGGATCAAGAAAACATTCTGTGAGTGATAAATCGACTGCTTTGAATGTTTCCATCTTTCGAATATTAACTGAGCGGTAGCGGCCCAATTCTACCTGAAGTCACTATTGAGAGCCGATCGAGTACACTAAAATCGTTTGAATTATCCCGTAAATCGGGAGTCCACAATCTTCTTCATTTATTTGAGGTCAGTAATTATAATTATCATATAATTGTCATTTGTTCCGCTAATAACCGGAAAAATTGCTAGTTTCACAGGTAAACCGTATTTCAGCCGTTTACATAGCATGTCGAAAGAAGGAATGTCGAGAGATGGTCGAAAGATATCGCCTGTGCACGTAACACTGAAAGCGGGTGTAATAAATTACAAAAATAATATACAACTATTACAGTGTATAGTATTTCAAGACAACAGCAGAAGCCACATCACAATTTAGCGTACGGGAAGGTGCAAAACACGGGCTGGCTCAAAAAACTACTTTGACCGGCATTATCGTTACTTAAAACTAGAGAGACCGGACTGAGACTGAAATATCTTCCCTGTTTTTAACGTTTTGAGACCAGTTAAAGTTCTGACATCGTATAACTAACCCAACGCGTTTCAATTTTCCTTTTGACAGAAAGGAAATCTCACTGATTCGTATCCGAGGGTTCATAGTCTCCAGTATCTACGCCCTGTTCTTCTCTAGCTCAACCATGGCAGGATTCATTTCAGTCACGACTCTACTTTTTATGGATACTTCGCTGACATCGTTTAAAGTCTTTACTTTGCTTACTCTTTTAACTAACTTAAAGATGGTAGTCACGATCTTTATAGCAGATTCATTACGCTACATTGCCGATGCAAGAACTGCATGCAGTAGGATGCAAAACTTAATAGAAAAGAAATCCATGTTAACACGCAACATGGATTACCAGGACAAGCCGTCTTCTCCAGAAGTTTCCTTCAAAGGCAAAGGGTATGAACCAGAATTTGCTACAACTGAGAGCTTTAAAAAAGCAAAACCTCATCCGAAACTAGGCCAGACATCTCAAAACATTAAACCAGGGATATTTCTTGAGGACGTTTCCTGTTCGTGGAACCAAACAACAGAACTTCCTGCGTTACAAAGTGTTTCATTGAGTCCTGCAAATGGGCAACTTCTGGGCATAACAGGGCCAGTTGGAAGCGGCAAAACGTCATTGTTGATGACCATCCTAGGAGAACTCCCAATCTCCTCTGGCAAAATTTCTTGTATTGGAAAAATAGCCCTCGTCTCCCAAACACCATGGGTCTATTCTGGTACTGTGCGAGACAACATCGTTTTTGGCAACCAATTCGACGTGCAAAGGTACAACAAGGTTATCGAGGTTTGTGACTTGGAGAAAGATATAGCAAGCTTCACGAAACGTGATCTAACTGAGATTGGACAACGTGGAGTGATCCTAAGTGGTGGTCAGCGTGCACGAGTTAGTCTGGCACGCGCAATCTACTCAGATGCGGACATCTACTTATTGGATGATCCACTCAGTGCAGTGGATGCCAAAGTCGGTAAACATTTGTTTGATAAATGCATCAAAGAGTTCTTAGACGGGCGAATGCGTATTCTGGTCACTCATCACTTACAGTTTCTGAAAGAAACAGACAGCATTGTTGTCCTGCAGAATGGCTCCGTTATCTGTGAAGGAACGTACAGTCAAATAGAAAAGGACAAACAAGTTGCTTCTTGCTTTGTATCTCAAGAAAAGAAAGATTTCAATGGCGAGCAAAACAATGACGAGAGGTTTTCGGTATTCAGTGAAGATACCTTGAAATCGATGAGGTCCACTAGAGAACACCATGATAGGGTAGATCTGGAAGATGAAGCGGAAGACAGAATGGTTGGAACCGTTAAGTGGTGGTTGTACTGGAAATACTTACGAGCTGCGCTCCCAACGATTTTGATAATCAGACTTATGGTTTTCTTCGCAATTGTTCAGGGTAAGCAGTAATTTTTAGTGGATGCAATGCCCTCTGAATTTCGAGGTTATAACTGTTTAGTACCACAGTGTGGGTGGCCTCCTCTACCGAGAGAAGTTGGAGCGAAAATAGACAATCTCAAAATACACTGGAAAATTTGAACACACCACTTTAAGCGGGATCTCAAAAAGGTTCTCAAAAAGTAAGGTTTTCTACGTCTATTAATTCCAGCATTTATCGAGTAAATGGTTCCTAGTTATGCGGTAAGGTGGAATGGCGACTTCAGTAATGTGAATAAGTAGAGGGAAGCTGTCAAATTCAATTGCTCTAAAAAGAAGAATCCTGAGTCATCCACCAACTGTACGAGAGTAAAGTCATTGTGAGATCTACGCTCACAAATGCAAGACTCAATCATTTCAGAGCTCAGCGATACGCCCATAATCCGGTGTTTGAGCCATCCAAAATGTACCTGGACTGTCACGGGTTTGACTTTCCTCTTTTGCACAAAAAGAAGCTTTCTCTCTGTTGGTGTAACTGGAATTTAACGTTTTGTTCTATTTAATCCTTTTATAAATAATTTGCATCTCATTCAGACGTTGTTTTAAGTTTAAAACTAATCTTGGAAACACTTAGCCCTTGCCCCATCCTTCCAAAGACCCTAACGGAAGATACGTCGTTTAGATGTTCTTTTGGTCCTGTTTATAGCATTTTTTCCGCACCTGTTTGTTTCCTAGTATTGCCCCTAAGCCCTAAATCATTTGTGTTCAAAATCAAAACTTGATGATACACAATACTTTTCTTTTTATTTCAGTGTTCTTGATAGCGCCCTTCTGGTGGCTGTCTCGGATGACTGAGATGCCATTTGGACAACAGAAGAGTCACACAACGCTTTTGGTGTACGGATCCATTGTTACGGGCTCCTTGCTTCTTACGCTAATATCCTCGTTCTGTTTCTACCTCGCTGCTCTGAAAGCTTCAGAAAACCTCCATGACCAGATGACAAAAGCAGTTATGAAAGCACCAGTGCTATTCTTTGACACTAATCCGGCAGGTCGCATCTTAAACCGTTTCTCTAAAGATGTTGGGTGCATGGACGATATCCTTCCAGGAGAATTCCTTTTTGCCATTCAGTTGTGTCTATACTTTTTCAGTGCTACCATACTTTCAGCAGTAGCAAATGTGTGGCTTTTTATCACTTGTACACCTTTGACGCTTTTGTTTATGTACCTGGCTAAGTATTACTTGAGATCCGCTCGTGAGATCAGGCGACTTGAGGCGATAACCTGCAGTCCAGTGTATTCCCATATTGCTGATAGCTTGGCAGGATTGGAGATAATTCGATCATCCGAGATGGA